GTGTGTGTGTGTGTGTGTGTGTGTGTCTGTGTCTGTGCATGGATGCATTCATGCATATATCTAGGGATATATGCATGCATGCATACATAAATGCATGCATGCATATATAAGCGCATGCATGCATATATAAACCCATGCATGCATATATAAATGCATGCATGCATATATAAACGCATGCATGCATGCATGCATGTATCTGCGGGGCTGAGTTGGGGTGTATAGGCAGCTTGGCTTGTGCCGCTAGCACACCTCAATGTCTGCGAGGCACCGATCCACCTCCTTCTCTACCTCCGTGGGGGGGCTGTTGTCCGCCTTTACGATCCGCTGTCGAGACGCCATCTTCTGGATTGCAGCTGCAGCAGCAACAGCAGCAGCAGCAGCAACAGCAGCAACAGCAGCAGCAGCAACACAACAACAACACATACAACCAAGAGTCCCTTCCCCCCCCCCCAACAGCACCTTAGAAAGAATAAGTGATAGCTGCGTATACACACCATAAGAGATGTAGATACGTATGCTGCATGCAAAAAAAAAAAAAAAAAAAAAAAAANAAAAAAAAAAAAAAAAAAAAAAAAGATGACGACATAAAAAGTATGAATACAATACACAACAGCTAAACCCATAGACTGCCGGGGGCCCTTTATCCTCCTCTTCGCTCCTAGCTGCGGTGTACATACACCCCAACTAGGAACAAAGAAAGCCAGGGGGAGAATATACAAAACCCGAGCTCCATCAGCAGCAGTGCCAGTGGGGTGTACAGACACCAGAGAGAGAGAGAAAGCGCAGAGGCAGAGTAAGAGGCCCCCCCCCCCGGCATGTTGAATTACCATAAAAAACCCAATACTACAACAAACACAATAAAAGAAATACAGAGCGAATACAGCAGCAGCTGCTGCTGCTCTCTCTCGCTGCTGCAGCTGCGCTGCCCACACTGCTGCCGCTGCTGCTGCTGCTGCTGCTGCTGCAGCAACAGCTGCATCCTTCTCTCGAGGCAACTAAACGACCTTCTTTATTTAATAAATTCAGCAAAAAGAATAAAAACAAATTCTCTAAACAACTCAAAAGGCCCCAGGAGCCACACCTCCCGCCCCCCCATAAGAACCCCGCAGCAAGAAGGCTGCGGTGTACATACACCTCAGCTGCCCACAGTGCAGCAGCAGCAGCATAAAAGCTCACTCGAAAGCAGATTTCCCCTCCTTGTTTTCTTCTTTTAAAGATGAAACATTTTCTCTCGCTTTCGATGAAACGCCAGAGGCCACGGCGCTGCTGAATCCCCACGTTAGGGGCTGCTGCGCATGCACAGCAGCAGCAGCAGCTGCTGCTGCTGCTGCTGCTGTCAGCGCTGCTGCTGCTGCTGCTGCTGCTGCTGTCTGTGGAACTCGTTCGGGGCTGCCCGTCTCAAGACCCGTGCTTTGTCTTCGATTTAATTTCGCTTTTATTTTCTATAAAATATGTTCAGTGTCTTCTTCAGGTGTATGCACACCTCAGGTTCTCTGCCCGCTGCTGCTGCCTCTGCTGCTGCTGCTGCTGCTGCCTCGGCTGCCGCTGCTGCTGCTGCTGCTGCTGCTAGCTAACTGCATGCAAGTTGAACCGCTCACTTTGTCAGTAGCCTTCTGCTTCTGAGCCTGCATATCAAGGCCCCCAACTCAAAGCAACGGGGACGAGTCCCCTGGCTGAGCGCTGCTGCTGCTGCTGCTGCTGTTGCTGCGAGTGCAGCAGCCACAGCAACAGCTGCTGCAGCGGCATGAGCGGTAACAGCAGCGAGCGGCGGTGACACGCCACAGCAGCAGCGAGCTGCAGTGACACGCCGCAGCAGCAACAGCAGCAGCTGCAGCTGTTGCTGCTGCAACAGAAGCAGCCAATGTGGCCGGAATGTCGGGGGCCCAGCAGCATGCGCAGCACCAGCTGCTGCAGCAGCAGCTGCTGCAGCTGTTGAAGTTCTTTGGTTTGCCCCCCACTTGCCGCTGCAGCCGCTCCGTCCGCATGCGCTATTTGGTGCTGGCGAAGCAGAGACACCCGGATCAGAGACCAGCAGCAGCAGCAGCAGCAGCAGCAGNCAGCAGCAGCAGCAGCAGCAGCAGCAGAATTCGCGTTGCTGCAACGCAACTATGAACGGCTCAAGGATCTGCTAGAAGCGGATGCTGCTGCTGCTGCACACTCGTCTCATTGCCGCTGGCAGCAGCAGCAGCGGCAGCAGCAGCAGCAGCAGCAGCAGCAACAGTACCGCTATCACGGCACTGCGTACAGAGAGCAGTGGTGGTATCAGGAGCAGCAGCACCAGCGGTGGCGCTGGCGGCAGTGGGAGCAGCAGCAGCAGCAGCAGCAGCAGCATTGGAGGCACCAGCAGGCCAACAACTGGAGGCGCTGGGAGGAGGAGTACTGGCGACAGCAGCAGCAGCGACAGCAGCAGCAGCAGCAGCAGCAACAGCAGCGACAAGGGTTAGGTATATCCTTTGCATCTGCTGCTCGGGGGCTGGGGATCGCCTTTGGTTTGTCTGTTGCATTCGGGCTCACAGCCCCATCCAGAAGCAAAAGGAGCAGCAGCAGCAGCAGCAGCAGCAGCAGAGATGCGCTGCAGCAGCAGCTGTTGCTGCAGCGGGAGCTGCAGCAGCAGGAGCTGCAGCAGCAGCAACGCATGCGAAAGCAAAGGATGCTCAGCGAGTCCAGGCGGCAGCAGCTCCAGAGACACATGAAGCTGCCTGTGGACGATCCGCTTAACTCTGCTGCACGCAGCAGCAGCAGCAGCAAGAGCCGCAGCAGCAGCAGCAGCAGCAGCAGCAGCAAGCACTTGCATCATGGGGACGCAGGGGACTTGGGGAGCAGCCTTGCTGCTGAAGTTGCTGCTGCTGCAGTTGCTGCAGAACTCCTCGAAGATCCGTGCTGCAGCGCTGCTGGTAGCAGCAACAGCAGCAGCAGCAACAGCAGCAGCAGCAGCAGCAGCAGCAACTACAATGCACCACGGGACCCGAGGGCCTGGCGGGATCAATTGGTTCTGATTGGGCACCTGGTGCAGCAGCCCCACATTTTTGTTGACGACAGCAGCAACAGCAGCAGCAACAGCAGCAGCAGCAGCAGCAGCAGCTTCGACGGCTTAGCACCAGCAGAAGCAGCAGGGCTCGGTAGCAGCAGCAGCAGATACCACCCAGCAGCAGCAGCAGAATACGAGTACAGCCAACACAACGAGACGCTTGATGAGGGGGACGTGGCCACCGAAGCAGCGACAGCAGCAGCAGCAGCAACAGCAGCAACAGCAGCAGCAGC